CAATGGACTTCCGTTTATGGTATTATCAACATTGATTCATTGCTTGAAACAAATGGACCACACTAAAATAACATGGTAATATAGAAGAAACTGGTTGTCTAACATATGAAAAACCATAATATAATTAGTTTTATTTTGCAAATCTAAAGACACACTATTCCAAAAAAAAAAACTCCAAAATGCCTTTCAAATATTTGTTTGTTTACATGCATTCATTCATACATACATACAAACACACACAGATACACAGAGAGAGTTCCTGTGCACTGCTTCATTCCCCAAGTTCCTGCAGTAGCTGACACTTGACCAGGTGGATACTGGGAGCCAGAATTCAATCCACATCTCCCACATGAGTGACAAAAGCCCAGAACTTGAACAATCATTTGCAGCCTCACAGGACATTCATCAGCTGGAAGCTGGAGTCAGGATCTAGAGCCAGGTCTGAATCCAGGCACTCCAGTATGGAATGTGAATACCCCAATCGGTATCCTAACCATTCGGTCAAATGCCCAACCTGTGATGACTTTTACTCAAAAAATAAAAGAAAAGTAATGATAATATACATATTTGGGGAATTTTAACCATACAACATAACAAGCAAAATAATTAACTTTGGTCTTTAGAAAAAAAAAAATCAAGTCCTTTGATTTTTGGAGAAAGAAGCCGCATTCTGTCAAAAATGAAGAAAACTGTCAGATCAGCTTGACTATGGAAAGTGCTACACATGTGAGAAAGTCTGAGCCCTTCAACTCTTTTAAGAAGAAAAAGTAACTTTTGGGGCATCAGTTCTTGTAGAGTGCACAAAAAGCTCATGGAAAATACATACTCTAGAAAAAGTTGAATGCATTCGGAATGTTTTACATCAAAATAAAATTATCTCTAATCTTAGTTTTTTCTGTTTGAAATACTTGTATAATGAAGATATTTTAATGATGCAGACACTATAAACATTTCACGTGAAATCAGTCGGAACACTGCACCTTACATACTGATTTTTAGGGGTCCCTTTTCTTTCTTCTTCACACTTTCTCCAAGTTTAAAATCTTGGTCATTTTTCAAGTTCCAACTAAAATATCACCTCCATGAATTCTCCTTGTTCTTTAGAGTGAATTTTTCTTTGAGCAGTCAGCAGCTGGGTGTCCTTCCACTATTTCGTGGAATGTAAACAGTTGGTAGCCATTGTTCACAGATGTTTTTACCATTTGACTGTAATCTTCTTAAGAGTAAGGTCAATCCTGTGGCCAAAAAACTTTGAGCTCATTGTCTGACTTCCATCCATCCATCCATTCATTCACATCTCCCACAGCTAGTTACTGCATGTGTACCACTCTATATGAATGAATAAATAGGAAGGAACAAACTACAGAGAAAATTTAACAGCTAAACTTTAATGTTGGAAGGAAATGTTTCTAATCTAGGAAAGTTCTGGGGGAAAGGGGGGAGGGGACAAATGTGAAGGGCAAAACTTGATACAAACCAGGTTTTCTGAAAGCATTAACAGAAGCCTTGTATCACAGAACTGATTTATCTGTATAGCCTGTGCCTGTGCTTCTGAGCAAAGGGTCTCTCTCTTCTGTATATTTGACCGTTTCATCAGATCTAAGACTCCTGTGGTTTGTATACAAAAAGCTGACACACTTAGGATGGGTGAAATAAATCTAATTAATGTTCCTTTTCAAAAGAAAACATGAATGAGCAATAGGAAATTAGGGGAAAGAAAAAGATATTAGAGCAAAGACTCAGAGTCCAATTTACAACTGTTGAGATATCTACATGGGTTCTTTGAAAAGAACAGAGTCTCTTTTGTAATGTTCTGTAGAAGCAAAACATATTGCTTGCTCAGTGTGTACCTTGCACCTAGAGTTATTCAAAATGCGACCTGTGCTTTGTGCCCTTATGGGCTTTGTTTACTTGCTTTCCTATTTATTTGGTATAGATTCATTTAAAATCAATTTTCAGAATATCAGTGCTAATTTTTTAAAAACTATTGTGCTCAGATAATTTCCAGTAGGTTTATTTGAAGTTAATATTGTTCTCTACTGTAGCCCCTGATGTCTTTGTCACTGCCTGGTCTCTCGGTCTGTTTCAAACACCCTTTCCACCTATGACTGGTCACTCCCCAAATCCATACGTGACTTATAATTGTATGCAAGGATATTAAATGGTTAATATCACACAGGTAGTTGTCTACTACATCAACGTCTTAGAATCACAGAAAGCTATTAAGAGTTCTATATAAATCTCTAACTTTCCCTCTGAAATTATTATTTTGTTTCCAAGACTTTCTCCTCCAATGCATTATTTCCCACTCTCCCACATCTCGTCCCAACTTTTCCTGAAAACTCTGTTACTTCACACTGAGCCCTGAGGATAATCAGACTGGACAAGTCAGCCCCATCCACTAAGGAGTTTGATCCACTGTCTTAGCATGGACTCGTAGGCTTCCATCACCTTTTAAGAAATGCTAATCCACGGCCACTTTTTAAGAATAGAGCATATTGTGAGCCATACATGGGTATGGACAAACCATGGCTGGGCTGGAACATCCAACAGCAAGAACCAGATTGGGTGGAAGGCCAGTCAGGAAAAGCCACAGTTCCTGCTATGATAGGAAGTGGACTGAGTAGGGTTGGCTCATGGACCCACTGGTAAGCGTGAAACCTGGCACTGGGAGAGGTTCTGATGGAGGAGCCTGGGCAACTCCTCTGGCAGGACACAGACCCAGCAGGTAAACGCAAGAAACATGATAGGAAACAGCCCAGAAAAGGCCATGGAAAGCTACCCACTGGCATACAATTGGCAGACGTGGGGGCAAGACCAGGCTGAATCTGTCCGCATCATCCACTGGCAAATCCAGGCACCAGTGTGGGTCGACCCAGGTTCGGTCGCCAACAAAGACTAGTGCACATTATGGAATGCCGAGGTGAGGTTGCCTGTACCAGAAGGGACCGCAGCGCCCAACCAGCCTGAGAACAAGAAAGGAAGTGGGCAGAGCCGGCAGGGGAATAAGGGAGGGTTCCTTTGCAGGACAGCTACTTCCGCAGGAGAGCATGGGCTGGGATGGGGGCAGACCAGACTAGGCAGAGCTATCACACCTGCGTGCCTCATGTGGACTAGATCAGGGAAAAGCTGGGCTGGGATGATTATTCCTACTGGTGCAAACAAAATTAAAGTGGGTGAGGGTTGTTTGGGCTTAGACGCAGCATCAACTGGAATGTGGGAGAGGCCTGGGAGGGAAATAGTGGGCTCATCCCTCTTGGGTTACCACTCCCACAGGGGGACATAAAACTAAGACAGCTGCTGGGGTGGAATGGGGTGTGGGACGGACTGGATTACTGCTACACTTACTGGCAAACCAGGGTAGGGGGTGGGCCTGGTGGGGGTTATTGTGGGTCGCTCCAACCTAGGCTGCAGCTCCCGCTGGTTTATGTGAGGGCCAAGTATGTGCTGGACAGAACCAGGCTGGACTGCAACACCCATTGGTTCCAGTGGAAGTCGGGAGTGAGAACAGAACCAACCCAGCAATTGCAACCACCAGCTGATTGGAGCGATGGACGGTGCCAGGCCCTGTACTTGTTAGCACATACAAGAAGTTTCTTTGGAGATCTTCCTAATCTAAATGCTGGACTCAGAACCCTAACGAAGAAAAGAGAGAAGACAGAACAGGTCAACCAACCATCTCAGCTATGATGGACTATGTCAATCAGTGGATTTTTCAAAGATCTCATAGTGCTTGGAGTGGCAAGATTGACAGCGATTCATAACTGTGGCAATATCAAAACCACTTGAGCAAGAACCTCAGAGCATGCCCTACATCCGGGACCTGGGGAGGGTGGCCCAAAGCTTTGGGACCCTGCACCTACATAGGACACCCAGAAGAGGCTCCTGGCTCTTGACTTTGGATCAGCTCAGCTCCAGCCATTGCGCTCACTTGGGAGATGAATCATCAAACGACAAATCTTCCTCTCTGTCTCTCCTCCTCTCTGTATATCTGACTTTGCAGTAAAAATAAATAAGTCTTTTTTAAAAATTCAGAATAATTCTGAAAATAAAATATCAGGCAGACTAGAACTCAAAACATCTCGGAGATATTAGCTCCACTGAGTTTCAACCCTGGCTCTGCCCTAGTTGAGCATTGCTTTTCCAGATATGAACACTGCTCTCTATTCATCTGCTCAGACACTGTTTAGCTATCTGATAGACAGCGCGGTATAACAGGCAACAGGGCAATACTGAGGGCCTGCTAGAATGACATCTTCAAAATAGGAATGACAACAATTATCTTGTAAAACTATAACAATGAAATGCAAGCAGATACTCATGGCACACGGAAATCGCTCTGTTATATCAAATTTAACTCGGGGTCTTGCACATAGCAGAAAAGCTCATATTTGCTTTGCTCGTTGCATCGATTCATTGTTGACTGTATCCACGTGAAGCTTTTCCTGCCTCGGCTCCACACCACCACCACCACCTACAACTTTCTCGTCCCTAAATGTAGCTCTCCTTAAGTTGCCCTGCTGAAGCTCTTCAGCAAGACCAGATGAGGACAGTTCCTTTGGAGCCACAGCCATGGTCTGAGTTTGAAGTTGTGTCCGTGTCACTTCGCCACCACCAGCACACCACCAGAGTATGACATGCACAGTTCTTAGTGCACCATTCACTGCCCTGAAACTTCCGGGATTTCCTCCATCCTTTTGTCTGTTCTTCACAAACATCCAATCAAGTGAGAAGGCTTTATCTTCCACTGGAGTTGCTTGGCGATTCCTCACACACCGTTAATTCAAACAAGTGAATGATGAATAGAATACAGCCTATTTAACGCATCTTCATTTAAATCTACTTTCCATGTGATGGATCCATTCTCAAATACATTCCTGCTTGCCATTGTTAATTCTCACTTTGAAATCTGAAGGTTTTTCCAAAGGTGTTTGTATATTGAAGAAGTAAATGTAACTGGAAACATGTAAGCTTTTCGCATTTGTATTTTTGTTTTCTAGATACAGTGAGAAGTTGTGTGGCAAAGTTATTCTTCACCTGCTCCCTGAAGGGACACTACTGCCTGTACAGCAAATCCAGTTTTATCCTCATCAGCCAAGAACCTCAGCCGTGGATCCAGATCATGTTCCTCTTTCAGCAGGTACACAGAATTCCTGCCCACCAGGCTCCTCGGCAAGCTGGTAGCATAGGAGTTTGCATTCATTTTTACCATCTTTTTTTTAAGATTTACTTCCTTTTATTGGAAACACAGATTTACATAAAAAGGAAATACAGAGAGAAAGATCCGTTGATTCCACTCCCTAAATGGCAACAACAGCCAGAACTGAGCCAGTCCGAAGCTAGGAGCTAGGAGTTTTTTCCTGGTCTCCCACACGGGTGCAGGTTCCTCAGGCTTCGGGCCGTCCTCTACTGCTTTCCCAGGCCACAAGCAGGGAGCTGGATGGGAAGTGGAGCAGTCAGGGCATGAACTGGTGTCCATACAGGATGGCATGAATCAGTGCCCAGATGGGTCCCATCACTTGCAGGGTGAGGAGGATTACAGCTAATTGAACCATCGTGCTGGGCACCCAAGGAGTCTTCTTAACACTTAATGATCCCTCACAGCGAGCAGCTAGCATATTCTAGATCCCATACCGTTTCCTACTCAATAATGAAAATGTTCATTGTTATAATAGTAGTGAAATTTTTCTGAGAAAAAATTTTACATACAGATTATCTAGAGTCTCATAATTAAATACTTACAAAGTCATTGACATAGAAAGTATAATTTTATAAGTCAAACTCTTAATCATATATAAAGATGAAAATTAATTCAAATGGCTTGTATACTCTTCATTGATGTCCTGCATGATTTTATGAAGTCATTCCCTGAAGCTAAAAGACTTCTTATGTTTTTGTGCATAATATCACAATATATAAATGTTACTAGACTCATCATTGATTGACAAGTATATAAATGGAAATCCTCCTTTGAAAGGGGGATTTTCACTGACTTCATGAGATATACAAATAAATGTAATTTCTTCACAGTGACAATTTCATTTCCCAGCAATTCCAGAAAATGTTTCCTAAAACTTTAGTAATTTTCATTTGCTACATATTTTAGGATGAAAATGCCTCTTCCCTTACACACCCACTTATAATGCTCATACTTGAGTCACTGTATAATGAACACTTAGTTAACTTGTCTTCTTCATGACCTACTCTGAATGAGCAAATTTGATTTCTATTCATGATCTACTCTGAGTGAGCAAATTTGATTTCTATACTCTTAATTTCTTGTCTTCATTTACAAAACCTTGATATGAAAATAAATTTGAAAAATGTGTTTATATTAACAGCTTTCCAATTAAAGGTTGTCTTTGGGAAATCATTGAGATAAGTATCAGCTGCTTTGGAAATTCTATTTAAATCTTTCCATTTTCTGTTATAAAAATGGAAAGCCTGAAATATGCTTGCTTTTCAAGATAGATCAATATTTAAACATTTTATTTAGATTTAAATCATGTTAAAGTTCAAACCAAGCGTAAAAAGGGTCTAGAAATCACTCAAATGACATAGAGATAATATACTCTCTCTCTTTCCCTCTCTTTTTCTCTCTCTCTCTCCCTCCCTCCCTGTACCCATCCACATTTTCAGAGCTTGTTTCCTGAGCCCTTGTCCACACAGAGTCATTCTATTCAATTTCTCAGAGCCCTATGGGAGAAAACCCAGGCAGGAGATGCCCACAGCTTTGAAACCGCCATGATGGAGTCCACATTTCCACAGCCAAAGGTACAAATATGTCTTTCTTGGACATTTATTTTTCAACCAAGATTCAAGATCGCCATGTAACAGCTTGCCACTTTCTTAACAGCACAATTTGACTTTATTTTTCTTTGCTTTGCTATTATGAGAAAGCTCTCTTTTACAAAAGATTTAATGTCTTTATTTGAGAGCCAGAGTACAGAGAGGGAGGGACAGGAATAAATCTTCTAACTAAAGAAGCCAGTGATTCACTCCCGAGATGGCCACAGCAGCCAGGACCAGGTCAAAGTCCCCTCCTTAAGTGTTGATGTCCACGCAGACTCGGGACAGCACGCTATTGCTACTCCAAGCCACTGTCCTTTGAAGCCTGTGGACTGCAGAGAACAGCTCCAGGGGAGCCACACAGAAACTGAATGTGCTGTGTGCAATAGCAAACAACTTACACAAGAAGATGGCATGCTGAAGGACAGAGCAGGAGGAGGGAATGGGGCTCCAGATTCCCTGGTGCCTTCCTGCCTTCCCTCCACACAGGCTCTCAGGACGTTGTGCTCTGCAGACCCCACAAGCAAGAACAAGAAGATATGGTGATCAGGAAGTGAGAGGATACGATCCTAGTGAGAGAACTTGATGAGTCATGAGGTGTGATGTGAGACACAGAGCATTTAGAAGTGTAGAAACATTGTTCTCGGCACACAATTATGACCTCCTGAGCAGGCAGCAATCAGAAAAAGACCAAAGTGTGGAACTAGACCCATCCATAAGGGTGAAACCAGCCAACCAGTCTTGTAGATGCATTGACACGCTCAGATCGTCCTAAGCCACAAGTCATAGACCTCAGTATAGGAGAGTATGATTAAAGGAAGTCTAACTAGAGACAGGCAAGCTACTTAGAAGGTTAGTAACGTCAAATAGGAAATGAAGGCTTATTTATTTGTAAAGCAAGAGGAGTGGGAAGAAAGAGAGAAATCTTCCATCTGCTGGTTCACTCTCCAAATGCTTTCAATAGCCAGTGCTGGGACAAGTTAGATCCAGAAGTCTCCCACAGGGCAGCAGGGACCCAAAAGCTTGAGCCATAACGCTTTGCCTCCCAGGATATGTATTAGCAGGAAAATGAATTAAGCAAAAAATCAAATCAGATAATCCAATATGAATGCAGGAGTCCCAAGAGGCAGTTGAATCCCCTGTGCCACAACCAATACACTGTGGTTTGATTTATATATCCACCCCCTGCAAAAAAAAAAAAAAATCACATATTAAAAATTAAGCCCCAGCATGGTAGTGTTAAGAAGTAGGGTTTTCAGAAATGATTCAGTCATGAAGGGAGAACCCTTATAAATGCGATTAGTGACTTCATCGCCAGGTAGGAGGAACCAATGAGGCCACTGTGCTGTTTCACCGTCTGCCACTGCACAGTGTTCAAAGCACCATGTGGGAAGTAGAGACTGAGTCATAAGTAGACACTAGCCCTGCCTATGCCTTCATCTTGAACTTAGACTTCTCAGCCTCCAGAACAGTGAGATATAAATATCTATTTTTTTCTAAACTACACAGTCTCAGGTATTTTATTATAGCAGAACAAACAGCCTGAGACAGACGAGTTGACTAAAGTTGGACATAATCTTATAAATGTGTAGGGTTAGAGAGCTATTAAGGAAGTCCACTGAACAGGATTTGGTGTCCGATGAAGAAAACAGAGGATGTCTTGAGGTACACTGCTAGGGCGAAAGGACGAAGACATTAGCCTGGAACAGAGTCCTCAAAGGAGGTTCATTCTGGTAGGGGAAGGAGAGCATTCTGATTTTGAGTCTGAGCTATCTGTGTAGATAACCAGATGGACACAGTGCTTGAAATTCTTGAAAGAAAGACATGACCAGAGATACAGATTTACAAGACACAAGGCAGCACCTATTTCATATCGGGCGACTGAATCACTCAAGGGACATGCGTCTTGAGAGTACACCATGGTTATTGATCTCTTACAGTAAATAGTATCAGCTTTCCTCTTTCCTCTTTCTCATACTCAGAGATCGTTTTTAATTTTATTGTGAAGATAGTTCAATAAAAAGTATTGGTTGCTGAGGAGGAAACAAAAGATTTTGGAAATATGTAATCATGGAGTCACTCCTTTTTCTATGAGAAGCACAACAAACAATAGAAGCTTAGATTCAAAGCACAAACATCTGGCAACTGAGCTAATCAAACACTTATAAAACTAACCAAATATCTCAAGTGCTAAAGAACTGAAACAGAACAATAAATGAGTGTGATTCCTCACAAATATATTTTGGATGGTCTGCAAAGACAGTGAAAGTACATCCAATTGTTGAACCACTTTTTCTTTCTTATTTTGGTTGAAAAATGTAACATGCAGTGTTTAGAATAGGGCCCAGTGTGGTAACCTAGCAGCTAAAGTCCTCACCTTGCAAGTGCCGAGATCCCATATAGGCACAGGTTCCAATTCCCACATCCCCGCCTCCCATCCAGCTGCCTGCTTGTAGCCTGGAAAAGCAGTCAAGGACAACCAAAGCCTTGGGACCTTGCACCCGTGTGGGAGATTCAGAAGAGGCTCTGGGCTCCTGGCTTCAGTCAGCTCGGCTCTGGCCGTTGCAGTCACTTGGGGAATGAGTCAATGGATGAAGATCTTCCTCTCTGTCTCTTCCTCTCTCTGTATATCTGACTTTCCAATCAAAATAATTTTTAAAAAATAAAGGAAAAGCCACAATTGCATCAGCATACGGTAAAATGGAATCTTTGCACATTCATTCAAATTTTCAACTGTTGCATCATGTTGAAAGATAATGCTTCAAATTCTTAAAAATTTTTCATTGTGAGCTGTATTTTAACAAGAGACAATTGACAAATTAAAACTTGGCTGCTTCAAGTCCTAAGAGATCAAAAAAATTTTGGCAACCAGTTTTATGCATGCTCTCAAGTATACTTATTCATATTTCTTCTATTTCATACCAATAAATATTCCCTTAGGGAAAGATGAACTGTAAATGAAACTTTTTGAAATGTTCAAAGTTTTACAATTTGGTTTACTCCTGAGTGAGGAAGAGCTTTGATATCTGGATTGCCTCCCTATATTTCTTAATCAAGTGGATTTTCTCCAATTTTTTTTCTGTGCACTGCCTTCAGAATAGCTATGAGTATACTGCACATTCTGTCTTATTTCCACAATCTGGGTGGATTGACATGTACCCAAGTGACCTGAAGGTGATAGACGTATGTGCTCCTGCCACTGTGATGAAGACTCATGGCAGCCAAGTGCATTCAGATGTGTAGGGAAAAAGGAAGAAACTCCTTGAGAAAATGTTGGTGTATCTAGGATTTAAACTTTCGCATGCTTTGTGGTAGTGGTTGCTTTTTAATAGTATCCTGGAGTTTTGTTTTTAATTGCATGTGTTTATTTTATAATAGTTGATTAATTATTTATGCTTTATTGGAAAGGCAGAGATAAAAAGAGAGATTCCTCACTTTCTAGATGCCCACAATAGCTAGAGCTGGATCAGTCCAAACAAGAAGCCAGGAACTCAGACTAGGTCTCCCACTCGGTGATGAGGACCCGAGCACTTGATCCTCCCAGGATGTGCATTAGCAGGCAGCTCTAATCGAGCACAGAGCTGGGACTTCATTGCCAAGGTATTGGATGGGAACATCCCAAGCAGTAACAGTCACTGCAGCAAATGCTCACCTTAGAATCTTGTGAGTTTACACCCATGCATTATTTTTGACAAGTCTACTACCTTGCAGAATGTTTGAGAACAGTGGTTTTCATCATGCTTAGCATTTCAACAATATTACACAGTTCTTGGCTCACATAAACATCTCCTCAATAAATAATAGTTATCAATTGGATAGACAAATGAATCCTATCTTTTTCCAGATGGTACATTGAAAACAAACTGACATGTTGAAAATCAGTGACAAATTTAGACCCAGGATACACACCGTGGTGACATCAAGATTGTCACCAACAAATATGTTTCTCTCCTTTGGGCACATGATGTTGAAGGGAAGGCTTAACCATGTGACTTGTTTGAGCCAATGAAATCTGAGAAGGGATATGTGTCACATGAACTGGAAATTTATCAGAGCCAGTGTGTGTTCCTACTGCCACAGTGAGTAGGAGCAAAGGTTGATGTTGAGTTGCCAGGAGAGACAGACCACCTGGAAACTGGAGCTAACATGTGGGCTTGCACAGAAGGAAGAAGTCATGTTTCCTTTTTTTTTTTTTAAAGATTTATTTTTATTATTTTTTCATTGGAAAGGCGGATATACACAGAGAAGAGACAGAGAGGAAGATCTTCCGTCCGATGATTCACTCCCCAAGTGAGTGCAACGGGTCGATACTATGCCGATCCGAAGCCAGGAGCCTCTTCCAGGTCTCCCACGCGGGTGCAGGTTCCCAAAGCTTTGGACCGTCCTCGACTGCTTTCCCAGGCCACAGGCAGGGAGCTGGAAGGGAAGCGGGGCTGCCGGGATTAGAACCGGCGCCCATATGGGATCCCGGGCGTGCAAGGTGAGGACCTTTAACCACTTGCGCCACCGTGCCGGGCCCCATGTTTCCTTTTGAAAAGTGAACCCATGGGACCTGCGTTGTAGCAGAGCTGTCAGCAATACTGGCATCCCATTTGGGTGGCAATTCATGCCCCAACCTTTCCATTCCAGTCCAGCTCCTGGCGAATGGCCTTTGGATACCCAAATAGAGTTCGTGGCTCCTGGCCTCAGCCTGGTCCAACGCTGTTTGATGCTACCATCTGGAAAGTGAACCTGTGAACAGGAGATCTCTCATTCTCTCTCTCTCTGAAATTCTGACTTTCAAAATAAATAAAATAAATCTTTTAAAAAGTGAAGTTAGGTGTAAGTTATAGCAGCATAATCTACTTTTCTTGATTCAAATACCTGGCAGAGTAGTTAGGAATGTCAGCTCTGAAGCCTGATTCCTTGGGTTTAGAATTTATTTCTGCTGTGTACCAGGTCTGTGGTCTTTAGATCCTTTATCTGTGCAGTGGAGATAATAGTAG